CGAAGCGTGAGGATGACGTCGGTCTGGCTGTAACACACCCCCCCCCGGCCCCTGTAATTTGGCTGTAAAACCCACCCGACTTCAGGCCGGGAAGGTTTGGCTGGAAATTTGACTTTGCTGTATGTACTGTGCTCCCTGTCCTTAGCAGAGCTGAGGTAAGAGAGGGTTCTGTGATACCTGCTTTCAGAGACAACTCCTGGGTTGGCCCGTCTTGGCGCTTCGTTCTCCTTCCCAGCATTAAGCCGTGGGATGTATTTACAAACCAGCAGAGTAATATTTCCTTGCGAGGGCTCTGGATTCGACCCAGAACCTCTTCTCAAGGTGCCCAAAGACTCTAGAAATCAAACCCTGACGTTGGATCAATAGTTTCTCCCCTCTTTCTCTTCAAAACGTCCCACCCAAATACCTCACCCGAAAGATTAAGGTCCAAAAATCGCAACGGGTCCTGGCTGCGTTTCGGCTTCCTGTGCCGCGGTGGCTTTGGGCGGTTCAGGCTCTGGTTTTGGTTTGATGAACGTGTCCGAAAGCAGCAGCTCCAGCAGGGACGCGGCCTGAAGGGCGGTCCTTGGGCTCGAGAGTCGTCGGGTTACGCTCTGCTTCCGAGCTAATGAATTTTGTGGACGCTCCGACGGGCGGCGCTGCCTGACGGGCTGAGTTCAGCCGCCTGCCTGCGTGCCTTCGGCGGGGCTGGGATCGCTGTGGTTTCCAACGAGCTCCTAATGATTCCAGGGTGTCTGCGAGCACAGCTTCCCGGAGCTGCCCAACACCCGTTTGGTGGGGCGGGAGCTGGGAGCGTGGGGCCGGAGGGAGCTGGGGGTCACCGCGCCGTCTTGCGGTCCTGACGGGTGTCCGTCTCTCCTCAGTTCTGTCCCACCAAGGCCGAAGCCCGCAGGAGCGCCGCGAAGATCGCGCTGATGAACTCGGTCTTTAACGAGCACCCCTCGCGGAGGATCACGGACGAGTTCATTGAGAAGAGCGTTTCGGAGGCGCTGGCATCTTTCAACGTAAGGCTTCGCCTTGGTGGGGACGGATTGACGGGGGGGAAAAACCCCTCAAATCGTGGGAAGAGCAGGGTGGGGGTATTTTTCTTCCATCTGGAACTCTTTACGGCAGGTCTCTGTCAGTGACTTCTGAGTATTAAAACTTTAATTGTGGCTCTAATTTTCATTCTGCTTCCCCTCCCACACATTCTCACACTCCTCTCGTGCCTCGGATCAGGCAGGGTAGGGTACGAAGACTGAGACGTTGATTCGCGTGGCCCTTCTGTGCCCAGACCGTCACGGGGGCTGGCTTGCTCTAAACCAAATGTTCTCCAGAAACTTCTGCTTCTAGCGGGAGAGCTTTGCATTCTTCTTTTACTGCTCTAATTGTACCTTACCCCGGAGGGAGCCCGTGCTGCGCCGTCACGCGGCGCCCGACATTACCCAGAGCGTTGTAAGAACTTTGAAATCGCCGTAACGGGCTGCAGAGAAAAACCCCCTGTCGAGTGGCGTTGCCAAAGGCG